TGGGGGGGTGGGGGGGTCGGGAGCCTCCGGGCTGAGGAGCAGCCACGGCCAGCCCACCAGGTTTCTGTGTAATGAGGTCAGCTGTCAGCTCCTGGGCAGGAGCACAGCGCCCTGTATTTCCAAGCCTGAGCCGCGGCCCATCCAGGCTGCAGCCCATCCTGCGCGCACATCCCGACCAGCCATGTGCGGCCAGCTCGCTCTCTCTGCAAAGGGGGAAACCCGGCAATGGTGGAGGCTGAGGACTGAAATGGCGATGGGCTCTGGCTCGTGTCGATTAATTCCCTCACGGCTCCTGCCTGAGGAGAGCGTCTGGAGGGGCCGCTGTGGGGCTGAGGAAAACAGCCCAGCACACACACCCTCAACAGCGACGGGCGGGTGAGGTGTCCCCGGGGCGCCTGCGTGGGGCGCTCTCTGTCACCTACAGGTAGCACTTTCCTAGAAGAAACTTCTGTGCCCACTGAAGTCTCTGAGGGGAATCGCCGCCTTTGGGCTTCAATCATCCCGACCCCGTGACCAGGAGATGCAAGAGCCAATGGGACCAGCAGGTCAGAGGCGGGCGTGGTCCTCCCTCCAGCAGCAGGGAAAGGGTTCAAACGGCGGTCCTCCCCCCACAGGCCGGCAGCTCCCTGGCGTGGGGAAGGGGCACATGGGCCATGCGCTGAGGGCAGACGGACTGGGGTGAGTATGGTTACTGCCCTGGGAGTATGGTTACTGCCCTGTGAGTACTGGTTAATGCCCTCTGAGTACTGGTTGGTGCCCTGAGAGTATGGTTACTGCCCTGGGAGTATGGTTACTGCCCTGGGAGTATGGTTAGTGCCGTGTGAGACTTGGCATTCTCCCATCCACCTGGTCAATGTGGACCACAGCTCAGCCCTTCACTTAGGCAGATGTGGACGTCAAGCACAGACCTCAGGCGCTCCCCTAATGACCCAGGGGCGTGGCTATCGACCAGGTGGAACCAGTGGAATTAGGGGCGAACGCGCGTGTCTTCTCTGCCTCTGAGCCTCCCTCCCTCTCGGGTCTCCTTTCGAATAGGAGGAGGAGTTGGTTCCCTTCCTCAGGAGGCGAGCCCGTGGGTTCCCTAAGGCCGCGCACTGTCCACAGGGTCCCCCAGGTGCTGCTTTTGGCTGTTTAGCTGTAGATCCAGTTACACTGGGCGTCTCGCTCTCTGGAGGAGCATGTCAAGGGCCCACGACTACGGGGCCGGTGGCTGCTGCACAGAACTTTCTCATCGTGGAACGTTCTAGGGGGCAGCCCCACAAGTCCCCGCCTCTGCTGCCCTTTGCCCGCGCCAGGTCCA